TTCAGTTTGTATGCTGGAATTAGGCACGTAGGCACTGAATTTGTAAAATCAGAGATTGCAGATTTATCTAATCTTGCAACAGAAGCATATGCAACCACTGCAGTTGCAGAGTGAGGCGGTGGAGGTGGTGGTGATGGGTATACGGATGCCCAGATTGATGAATTCTTTAGCATTGAAAGCAGCCACAGCAACAACTTACGCTAAAACAGAAGTTGACACATCGTTAACAGCAATAAATAGTACATACAGCAACAACATAAACGAAGACTGAAGTCGACACATCACTAGGGCTAAAAGCCAACCAAGCAAGTAGCCCGCTACTAAAACAGACGTTGCAGCAAAAGGAAACCATGCCGCTGCCCAAACCAGAACTGAAGTAGATACCGATGTAGGCTTGAATACCGATAGTGCAGATGTGTGGCTTCCCAAGCTCTTTTGTATACATCATTAGAATCATTAGTATTAGCATTCAAAGCAAGTATAGTAGATCCCATATGAACTGCAAATGTAACTGCCAAATTCAATTGTAGAAACTCTATATTGTCATCAACTGCAAACGCTGTGACCACAAAACAACACGGCATCATCTAGGTTTCTTGGAAGATATGGAGTTGACAATTTTGGGTGTGATGACACTAATAGCAGATTGAATGTGCTCAGAGTGATGGTGTCACTCATTAAGATGAGTTCATGAGATACATACATGTAGCTATATGTTTGTAATTACTGTACATGGCATAGCTTTTTCAGGTGGCTTGAACTCAGACATTGTAAATACAGCTGCAAGTGCCAACATGCAAATTCAAAGGAACAGTGTAGATTCCATTAGATTAACACACCTGATGACAAACTAAAATTAAGTAAGCAAACGGACATACAGTAACTGCAAGTTGACAAGTTTGTTTCTTTTTAATGGTGTTGATGGAACTGTGCTATTAGGCAATGGTTGACAAAGAGTTATATACATTAGCGGTTGGTGGTGCTGGTCAAGAGATGGAGTCAAATTACTTTGCCAAAACCGATGTCATGATTGGCAACACTGAAGGTGATTTGAACATTACAAGAGCACGTAATGGAACAAAGGAACTGACTCTAGATGGTGATTCTTATTTGAGTGGTGCTGTTGAAGCTTTAGGAGAGGCTACTTCACAACTAGTCCTAAACTAAATAACCCACATTCTAGAACAGAATGATGGAGCAAACAAAGGACTACATAAGACTTTGCAGTGGCTTTAATGATTGTTTAACTTTACAGTGAGTTTAACGGCAGTTCATTGGAACAACTTGATAGAGAGTATTGAAGTGTTGAAGATGAACTGATTCAACATACAACATCACGAGTTGAGAGATTTGCTGCCGGACCCGAGCTTCAAGCCTGCCTCGGCCCAGGCCGCACCGAAGTGGTCAAAGGACACCCTACGGGGACTGGAAGATCCAACGGATCCCGATTCCCCCCCAGCCCAAAGGGCATCGCTACGTTCGGAGCTTCTGAAGCTACGTTCGGAACAAAGGGCCATCGCTACGTTCGGAGCAAACACGCTACGAACGGGGCTCCTGGCATCGCCAGAGCCTCGTCTTTGTGGCGCCGCTTGAGGTCCAGTCACTTCCACCCGCCCGGACGCACGACGGAGAAAGCGGTCCAAGCAGCAGCGGCCGCACGCGAGGCTGAGGCAGATGGAGATGATGATGATGATGGGGATGGGGGCATGTGGGGGCATGTGGGGGATGGGGTTTTGGAGCTTATAGGAAAACTCGCAACAAACATATATACTGCATGCCCTGATGATCGGCGCCATGGTTGGAGAAAAGTGGGTCTTGGATGGTCCCCCGGAGGACCCGTGTCTTCGACCCTGACCCAGGTGCTGGTGGATTTGCAAAGGATAGTGTTAATTAACTGACTGGTGCTTAGCAGGGAATGAGGAAATGGATCCAATGGAATCTCTACAGGGGTCTCATTCCCTTATTCCCTACTAAGCACCAGTCAGTTAAGTCATTAAAGGATTCCACTTCTCAATTTTTGGTATGTCGATCCCCTGCCACATAGACATACCAAAGAGTAGACCACCTTCAACCCCGTGGAGTTGCAATCGAACATGAAGAAGAAATGAGCATCAAGTAGAAGATAATGATATGGTCTCCAACCTAATAGTGATGGCCTCCAACCTAATTAGTAGCGATGGCCTCCAACCTAGTAGAAGCATTACATTTTTCTCTCTTGCAAGTAGGTGCCTGCTTGCCCACTTGCCCTAAATAAAGCCTAGTCTCTATCAGCCTTCAGCCGCTCTTCGTGCGAGACCTGGACTCTCCACTGGCTCCCCAGTCGGTCACAGGCACGTGCCAAGAAGCTGGCGCAGGAGTTGCAGAAGGAGGCTCAAGTCTTGCAGGCGGATTGGGTTCCGTTGGCTTCTTGAACAGTTCTTCAATCTGACTATGGGATGGGATACATGACATGGGGACAAAAGGGTTTCACCCACATGTCACATGTCTCTGGGCCATTTTGATGCAGTGTAGAAAAAAAAAGAGACCACGAATCGGAGCCAGGGCCAGGACTTGGGTCATCCTTATCATTCTCAATCCGCGGACCCCACCGGTGGCGCATGCGCCCTCATCGGACGACCACACGATCTGTTCGGTCAACCAGCCCCGATGTACCAGACCCAAAGGCGACCCCTCATAGCCACCATTTGGACCCTCACAGGGTTTTGGACCTCAAAGATGTAGCAGTTTGGTTTGTCCAGGGTCGCCTCTGGGTACGAATATCTCAGTCCCATTCGTCATGTTCGGGCTCGGGATCCATCGAAGGGACGGAGGGACGAAGGGAGACCTGAGCCCTGCGTCGAACGCATCACCGAAAAGAGGGTGGATCCATCGGGGAGAAGGGCCGACAGAAACGGGTCATGTCCTCCACTCCTGGGTTTGTTGGTGGGGTTTGGCAGGAGGTTTGGCAAGTCAGGAGGTTTGTCTGATAGGTCTTCACCGAACTTCTTGTGGACCTTTCGTCCTCAGAAAGGCCTACTAAACACTTGGGCCATCTTGGACCGCACAGGGCAGAAAAGGCATGTTTCGTTTCAACTCAAAAGAATTGAAGAACCAGAGTGACCCAAAGCAGAACACGGCATTGCTTGACACATGGTGCCTGATCTAGGCGGATTGCTTGACACGGTGTGGCTCCTGATCTAGGAAAACAGATCCCGCCACCGGTTCAAAACGTCTCATCCTTCTGTCCATTGCATCTATGGGCCTGTGCCACAGTGGACCTGCTTTCAGATCAAATGAAACCATCCTTCCCAGGCTGAGCTGGACCGCGCCAGTGCAGAGCACGAGGACATGAAAGCCCGCAGTGAAGGCGAGGCTGGGAGCCCGTCGACCCGTCCCCCCGAACGGGCGCTCGCCGGGTTCCACCAGGCGACCGACGTGGGCGGAAAAAGGCCTGAAAACCCGCATCCGAAGCATCGAAACCAGGAGAAGGAATGGTTGGTCAGTTAGGGGTCAGTGCTGAAACTGCTGGCGAAAGGGGATGTGGTGTTCTGTTGTTTTCTCAAAGTTCATATATATATATATATATATGAAGCATAATGAAGCCATGCGCATTCGCAGGCCTTTGTTTGTGTTTGCCTAAGCGGCTGGGCCATGCGATTTGCATGCTTGGAAGGCTGCTTCTCACTGCGATTGACGCCGGTCCTTTCCTTTGCGCAATGTCTTTTCTCCAGTCACTTGCCATGTCACAGGTGCCAAAGAACAAGCCCTGGAAGCCGAGCAACAACTTGAGAAGGCTGAGAAAGCTGCCGATCCTTGGCACAAATGATTTTGTTGCGGCCCTGCACAGCACACTAAGGTCAAAGAGAACAACATGAGAATCAATGACGGTGTTGACGTATGCGAGGTTTCATGTGAACATATGTGACCATGTTCTTTGTCAAAATTCTGGATTCTCCCAAGATCCAGACTATGACATGTTGGTCAAAAAGTCAAAAGGCTCAAAGCTCGCCGGAAGGCGGTTGACCCGTGGCCCTTGGAGGCTGGGTGGGGGTCCCAACAATTGTGCATTCATCGTTTTTAGCTTTTGGGGCACCGGACACCTTGCTAGCTGGCATAGGGCACCACGTTCACGTCACCTTCCAAAGAATACCGAGCTCACACGCGAACAACTGCCGCACATCCGACGTCCCTACCCAGTCCGCGACCGAACAACTTCGAGCCATGGGAAATGAGCCGTGTAAGTGCTTGAAGAGTGGCGCTGAGAATGACATTCTAATCTTCCAGCTGCCAGTCTGTGGAGGTGTTGATGCTGTCCAGGCGGCCGTTTCTTCCGGGATTCGACAAAAGTCCCTAGAGGGCAAAAAGGCTCTACCTGCCTCAGAAGTAGGAAGGCTACAAAAATGTTCCAATACCAATCACTATGAGCGAAAAGGATGAAAAAGGGCATCAAGGGATGGGTCAAGGGATATATATCAAGCGATTTTGGGGGAACCACTTCCATGTTTGCTTCTTTTGGGAGGAACCACCCCCAGGATCGCTTGTAGCTTGACTCTCCAACCCTTAGACAGTCCCTGCAGGGTGCCTCCGGGTGGACGGGGCACTGAATGTGCAGAATGCGATCAATCAAATACCATGGGTAGCCGGATTATCCTTTGAATCCCTTGGCCGGCGTAGATCTTTGATGATCTTTCTTCTTCTTCTTCTTCTGTTTCATCATGTTTCATGTTCTTCTTCCTCCTGTTTATGGACAGTCCATCATGCACCACCCCTGCAAAGCTTGTGGAGCGGATGTGAATGGATCACGCATGTCTGCCACGCTGCGGCAGAAAATGATTTATCCACCCAACCCAGATTCCAAACATCCCGGACAAGAAATATGAAGAACATGCTCAAAGCCTTTCCAGTTTTCAGGGATATCCAGCCATATCCGTCAGTGATAGGCCAAGGAGGCGGAGGAGAAATATTTGCGAGTTCTTATTCGAGTGCAACGGCATTGGCGTGTGGTCACTGCGCGCCGAAAGATGGCTTCCCAAGCAGAAGTCTCTTATACAGCTGGCACCGCCAACAAGCAGCGATTTCTCTTACACTGGCAGGCTGGGATCTGGGAGAAGAGAATCAACGAAGAGCCCGCAGTGCACAATCGGACTCGAGGTCTATGAGGTCTATCAAGGCTAAGCAAACGACCAGGACGGACTAAGCCTTTTCCAGGACGGACCGCTCTGGCCACGTGGCCACGCCCCCTAGCCTCGCCGGTCCGCCACCGCTCCGCCGAGTTCGCGGGGCTCGACTCGAGGCCAAGTACATCGTCGCCAACAACCTTCCGGCCAATGATGCCCACTGGGATTCGGATGATCCTGCATGGGTCGGTAAGGCATCCATGTCAAAGCACCATCGCTTTTTGATCCGCAGGAATCTGCACTGGCGGTGGTCCCTGTGCTGAATTCTCAGAATTGGCCCAGCAGTTTGGGCAGTCTCGGTTCTTGATTCATGAAACGGGAGATGTTCCTGATGCTGGTTCACCTCAGATGTTGTGGGCCAAACAGAATAATCGTGAGACTAATTCTTGTCCCATTGGAACATTTGCAGCAGGATAGTACCAGACCTGAGCTCAATGCTCTTGGTGTTCGACAATGTCCAATCTTGCAACACCAAACAGTTGTCATGTCCGTTCAATCTCTTTAGCATTCTTTAGCTTCAGGTTCAATGCTCTGGTCTTCGGCATGCTTGACGAGAATGATATGGTTTACCCACACGGTCAATGCTGTCGGGAAGCGGTCGCAGAGTTAAACATGATGAAGGATGCTGCCTTGGCATGGGTTGCTGGAGTGAGGTCTGAAGAAGGGTCCCTTGGACTGGCGAACAGATCGAATGTTTTTGTTTGCTCTTTTTGAAAGAGGAACAAAGAGGAACTGAGCAACACATTTGGGTTGCCAAAGAAGCCCGACACCATGCCGTCGTCCATGAAAAAAGCCGTCGTGCTCCTCTGTGTTCTTCGGCTGAGCTGAGGTGGTCCGAGAATGTGGGGCTTTTCTTCCATTGCTATGGGCACAATAGTGTGAACTCCTTGCACTTGCACGTCATCGATATGGACTACATCGGTCCCAGCTTCCATAGTCAGGAGTTCAAAAACCTGCCATTGGAAGAAGTGCTCAAGGTCCTACAGGAAGATGCATGGTCTGCTTGGGAACATGACACGTTTTGCAAATTCACTTCTTCACGGTGTATCACGGTCTCCTCCGGTCCTCACGGTGGTACGACAGAAACCACGAAAGACGTATCAGGCGGGTTAGGCTCTCTAGGAGTGATCTTCTCACTGAGACGGACCACCGATTTCCTGGGGTGCTCCAGATTTCAAGGGGAAGAGACTGACTAACCCGACGAAGTCGTCGGGTACACAAAGCATGGAAACACATGGTGCCAGCGTTTTTCTCATTATTCCTTTAAAACCGTGTGTACACTATAATATATGTAAATATATACAAATATCAGGTCAACACCTGTGATTTTTAAGTCTGCAAACGCCACCGGAGGAGACCTATAGAGTCGGGTGCTGGCATAAGATATTTTTTTAATATCAGGGGATTCCGGGGCTTTGAGGCTTCTATATAGATGTTGATCGTATTTGGGAGTGCTTGTTCTTTGATGAATTGGACATTTCAACTGAGGATGTTGACCGGACGCCGATCAACGGCACCTTAGCCACCATGGATTCCCATCCAGCCATCGACGAAAGTGTTGACCTCAAGGCAGCCAGTGTGAAAGCCTGCCCAGTGACTGGTTTGAAGAAGAGCAAGGGAATTGCTGATTGGTGGTTTCATTGGTAGTCTTTGTGTTTTGTTTCAGGAATGAATGGGAATGACTAGCACTCCCATCCCCATGATTCAATCAGATGGCTTGGAGCCACCAATCAGTTTGGCCATGTGGAAGCATGTGGACGGAAGACTACAGGGAGTAACTATGGGATCGATCCATGATTTGGGGCCTTCCATGTTGTTTTACGTTAACATTGGCAGTGTGGTCAGACGTTTGCCCCGAAAACGTCAAAACCTTTTTGTGGGTCCTCAAACTCCCATTCCGAACAGCACGGGTCGCGTTTGAGGGACAGGTCGAGTCTCAGGCTCTCTGACTGCGATAGTTAAGCAGTGGGACGAAGGACCACCCCGGCGGTTAGAGACCACCTGGAAAATCCCCGAAGTTAGATCCTAGAAGAGTCTCCGGTCCCCCCCCCCTTTTGTGTCCATTCTGGGGTACGAGTCTAGCAGTTTCCAGAGGGTGATGAAGATCACACAGAAAAAAAAACACATCTGCTAAGAATCACCCTCTTGTAACATCACACGAAAAACAAATCCCCCAAGAATCTGTACACTGGGTGTCACAGGATGTCGTAGTAGGATGTCATGTCGTGAATGACGGTCTCTTCGCTCACTGGAACAGCGATTTTCACAGCCGGGCTCGTTTGGGATGTGAACTCCGATGAACGCTCAGCCGGGCGACTCGAATTGACTCGACTGGATGCCGAACCACATCGCACTACCGGGTCCCAGTCGTTTGGTCCAGTCGTCGCAGAGGTGCGTCGACCGGACCCTGCACCGTTCGGAGAGAGTTGTCCGGCGCCCGTGGTGGTTTCGTCACAGCGAGGTGATCAACAATGCGGAATCCTTTCGGGCGGCCAGAGAGAACTTCTGGAAGTTGGGGGGGCCCCCGGGCTCCTCGAGCGGCAGAGCATGGGGTCGGACGGATGGCTGTGCACTGAACGTGAACGTGTGGTTTTGTTTCATGCAGAAAAAGGAGTCGCCTGACCTGGTCCACATGTGGAAAGGTCAAGTTGATGTGACATGGTTGTGGTCTTGTGTTGGTATGTTGAGGACTGAATATGAATATGTTGCAGTTATATATGTATACTTGTACTATATCTTACCATGTTTGCTGAAACAAGACCAAGGTTTTTTTGGCCAGTTAGCATCAACTACCTGTGCAGTATCCTCCCTACTGGCTAACTATGTCGCTTTCATGGTAATCTTGCAGTGTCTAGGATAGAAAAGTAGTATATAGTGGAAGTTCTGAATCACAAGCTTGGGGGGGTCATCATACATGTCCCATGAAAAATCATATCTTTTGCACTGCAACATGGGCCACTTTGACTCAAGACACCTGACTCATTCTGACTACCACCTTTGGCAACACACGTGTGTAAAATACACCTTATATGCACCATCCTTTGTGTGCTTTTGGGTCAGGTGGGGATGGTACAGATTCCAGGGATCCACGTGGTACAGACATGGCCCATCCACCAGGATCTCCGATGTCAAGACTTCCAAGGCTCTGAGAGATCAATTTGAACGCCAGGGCTTTTTGAAGTCGCTCAGATGGCAATGTTGGGCTCGTTGAACCCAGATGCTCCATGGGACTGCCATATTTGCCGATCAGTTGGGGTGCATATATTTTAGGCATATGTAGGCATATATTCCAGTCCCATGGAGTGTATGGTTAATTTTGGTTCTTTGAGGTTGATAATTGAACACCCATAAATGATTGACTTGGTGACCCTCCCAAGAAACCAACTGCTTTTTTTGAACGTTACTGTACAGTGAATCCACTCCGTTGGGCTGTCGTGTCTCCAAGCAGTTCAGAAGAGTTGGAGACAGACACACACCAGCTTGTTTTCGATCTAGTGTCTCCTGGCATCGCTACTAGCATGGCCAGGAGCTACTAGTAGCGTTCTCGCTCCTAGTAGCGATGGTTTGGTAGATTTTCCCAGACATTGATCAGGAAGGTTTACTCGGTACCTGAAGGAGAGTGTACAGCCCAAAAGCTGATTTTCACAGTTCCCAATCATATGGTTTCTCAGTTCAAACGGCCCTACGATGCCCTACGTACATCCAGAGTTGGCCGAAATTCGACTCGACCTCGAGGGCTTCGTGGATCGCCTCCTTGTCGCCAAGTCTCCCCAGGTTAGATGCCGCCCCACTTCAATACCTCTTTGGGGGATTGGTTTCCCCACCTCAAGATGAACCAGGGTGGACGATTCATCGGGTCAATGATTCTCAGCTTGGCCGTCAGCACATTCCACGTGACCCCTCGCTTGGCCGCTGATCCTCCCGCCCACGGACCGCGGGCTCCGCATCGATCTGGTCAGGTCGGGATCCTCCAAGCTGACGACCTCCACGAAGCCCTTCAATGTCTTCGCACGCTTGGCGTATCAAGACACGGTGGCCCGGACCTTGATCGCCTCGGAAAGTGGCCTCTCCAAGTTGACGAAATCCAGATGAGAACGCGATGAAGACGGGGTATGAATCCCAGTTGCGCGGACCGGAAGGTGTGGGACGAAGGGGCTCGGAGTGGCAGGATGCGTTGAAAATGAGACTAGTGACTAGGCGATGCTTGTATGGATGTTGTCATGTCCTGGTCCAAAGTTTATAGCAAAAAGCATACTCCAAAGTTTTTCCTATAGCGTGAAAGAACAAGAAAGAACGCCATATGTTGGGAATGTTGTACAGAAGCATCTCAGCCAGACCAGCTGTCTCATGTCTCATGCTGTCTCCATTCCTTCGGAGCCTCATCCCTCAACCATCACTCTATAGAACTACATGAGGAGACACGGCATGTGCGCCGGTGTGTGTGTGTGTGTGGCTGCTTTTGCTGTGGTTGTTGGTTGCTGGTTGCTGTGGTTGTGGTTGTGGTTGTTGTTGTTGCTGTTGCTTCGGATAAACCTCAACAAGATATCGATTGGGTTCCTCACTTTCTTTGGTCCGACGGACCCTGTGTTGAACAAGTTGCACAAGTCACGTCACATCCTCTCATGCGGGAAGCAGCGAAGAATCCCAATGCATGTCAATGCATGTATGGAATGTTTGTGAACATTATTAGCCCATTAGGGTGGTTTCAAGCGTTCTAAGAGTCAATGTATATCGTAGGAACATGGCCTCTTGGATGTGGAACATGGCCCCTTGGATGGATGACCATTTTCCTCTACAAAAGGTGGTGCCATCCACTTCCGGTGATCCCAGGTTGGGAGGGTCATCCTCCCTTAATTCAAGTCTTGTTTCTTGGGCAGAAACGCAAGGTATCCCAAAATCAAACTTCCGACTTTTCACCTGGTTCCGCTTCAGAGTGGCACCATTGAACGCAGAGATTTGGCTTCCCAACTTAAGACTTGAGGCAAATCAGTTTTGAGGATGTTTCTTCCACTTGTCCTCCACCATCAATTCTCAGGCAGGAGATTTTTCCGAATCATTCTGAAGATCTTTGAGCTCCTGGGCCTTTGGCTTTGCTCCCCGAAGTTCAGAGTGAGAGAGACTGGACTAGGCTGTGGCCATTGCAAAGCAATGGCAGCGAAGGTGCCCGGCGGGCCAAGAGAAATGCTTCAGAGAAGTGCTCATCTTCAAGAGATGAGTTCTTTCAGATTAAATCTCCAGTTGCATTGTACTGACGTTTAAAACCCATGACTTCCAGCAGTGCTCCTGCTGCACTGCATCTTATTTCGAAGATGTTCGAAGCATTTGGTTTCACTGGTGGGACAAAAGAGGCAGATGCAGAGGCGAATTTCCTGTGGAGGGTTGGAAGATGCGACCTATTCGTGTCGACCTTCAAGTGGTCGAACGAACATGCGAATCGACCATTTGAACGGTGACCTGCAGGTCCATGAATGTCCATCTGGTAGGTGCAATCGGTGCAATCGGTGCTCAATCGGTGCTTGGTTGGATGCACTTTCGGTCGACCGTCGGTGCGTGTACCATCTTGTAGCATTTTCTGAGGGTACTTTCACAGGTCGACGGTCGACTCCAGGTACAAATGGAAGACTGTAGACTCCAATGGCCTCCTCTGTCACACAAAGCACCCCCTCTACGGCCGGTCCATGGAATCTGCACGTGCTTTTCGGTGGCCTTTGCGCATGGATGTGTCGACATGGATTTTCACTCTGTTCGGCCACCGAAAACAGGGCCGAACAGAAGACGTGAAGGCCAGAACAGAAGACTTCGGTGTTCGTGAAACGAAGAAGTGTTTGGTGGGACCGGGACCAGGCTCAGACCTGATGCGGCGATCGGAAGAAAGTGAACTCGCCAAGCCTCCAACCCATATGACAACCCCGTGACAGGTGAAGCTGTTTTTCAGAAGCTGTACCCAGAACTAGCCATGCAGATCAATGGGTGTTGACCTGTAATATGTGCTCGGTCATACCCAGTAGCTGCGTAACACCAGTAGCTGCGTACTGGGTGTCCGATGTCCGACGTCTCCCAAGGATGTGGCACAGAAGGCCGCCTTGGCCGCTCAAGAGCAGAAGGTGCGGAGCTCAGGTGCGCCATCTTCCTCTCCGGCGCCATCGGCTCCGCAGTGGCGCACGCGCATCGAGTCTAGACATCACCATAGCACTGCACACGAAGTGTTTTGGGAAAGAGAAAGCAACACGGAAAGCGCAGGTTGTTGCAACAAGTGTGAACATCAGATCGTTGCTTCAGCATGGAAACACAGGGATAGTCAGACTAGATTGTTGCAGCACTAGGATGGAGGCCATTGCTACTGGGTGGAGGCCATTGCTATTACTCGTAGGTTGCAGGCCATCGCTAGTAGGTTGGAGCCAATTACAATTGGGTGATTTGTTCAGCGCAGGGACGCTGCAAGACAAAAATAGAACACGTGGCTCCAAGGGGTGCCAAACAAGTGCTCGCGCGCAAGACGCTGCTTGCACGCCAAAAGGCAACAAGAGACACTATGTTTCTTTCTGGTGTCCAACTGCCACACAGTTGAGGCTCTCCACTTTGTCACAAGAAAAGGCACGGTCTTTGGGAAAAGACACCGAACAGGTATTTTTCTGTGACAAGGCAAGGCCTGGGACATGATCGCTAGAAGTGCTGGTAAAGCAAAGGTGTATATACTTGATGAGGGAAAACCCGAAACTGTGAAATTGTTTGCACATATGTGAGCCCCTAATAGCGTCCTTGCTCCTAGTAGCGATGCCAGGAGCCCCTGGTAGCGAAGCCAGGAGCCCCTAGTAGCTTCTTGTTCCGAGCTACTAGTAGTGTCCTTGCTCCTAGGAGCGATCTTGTTCCTAGTAGTATGGCCAGGAGCCTAGAAGCTATAGTAGTATGGCCAGGAGCCCCCCCATAGCGTCCTTGCTCCTAGTAGAGCACCAAAAAGAAATCTTCGAGCACATGCACTTAGCTTGTTTCCGCAAGATTCTGCAGGATCCAATAAATTGGAGATTACTCCCAAGGGTTTTGAGCAGGGACACTCCTTTCTGAGTTATACCTGGAACTTCGTTACGGCAATAATAATTGCCGTTTTCATGAAACGTCGCCTTTTTCCGTTCTGCGGCGTTCTTCCATATTGATCTCATGGGGACGGCGTTTCTTGATGAAGTGCGGCAGCTTCGGTCAGTTGACGGCAATTTTGGTCCACACATCCATGCGCCTCAAAGAGTCATTTCAAACATTTCGTTTTAGTTTTAGTGCAGGCGAGTATGAATGAAAACATTGTAGGGTCTTGCTAGAAAGGCAACTGAACGTAAAAGGCGTCTTATTATATCAGCAAACTCGCACAGTCATGTGAAGTGGAAAGGGCAGCTGATGGAAGTGTCACATGCTGGGTGTTCGTCGGTTTTCGCGGGTAACTCGACCTCTTGCGCGGCGTTGCAGAAGATTTTGCGTTTAAAGTTACGGCGTTCTTACCCGTACTTGCGGCGTTTTTCCCCGTACTTACGGCGTTTCTCCCCGTACTTACGGCATTTTCCCCCTACTTACGGCGTCGTTCCCTTACCCTGTCTAGGGCCACTCAAGGGGGCAGCAAGACTTGTCACAACATGTCACAAGCGATCCTTTCAGCCATTGCATGATCAAAATGTGAACAAATCCTGCCGTGATGTCAATCGAGACCTTAGACAAGGGCTGCAACATCTTGAAAAGTGCTACCATGAGGCTTGAAAAAGATGAGCTCTACTTACAAGTGAAAAAGGAGAAGGCAATTTCAGGGTATGGACGGACCAAAACAATATCCTATTTGGTAGATCAAACAAAAAGGCGATTCTTCTTTTGTGGCGGCGTTTTCACTTCTCTGACGGCGTTTTCACTTTCCAGGGATTGAGCTACGGCAGAAAAAAATGAGTTACGGCAAAAATTATTGCCTCGGGAGGGTCTAGGTATGTCGACTGTACTCGACTAGTAGAATTTATCTGACGATGAAGTTAAGAGGGTGACAGGTGCCATCCCTTGACATAAAGGACATCATGACTAATGAGTCAATGAGGACTATGGGTGCCTCGTGACCCACAGACGTGCCAGCCCGGGTACCGACTCAGCCAATATTTCGCAACAGGCTTGAAGGAAGGCAGACCTCCGATTGGCACAAAGGGCCAATGTTCTTTTGCCACGCAATATGTTGGGTCGCAATGAATGAAATCCATTCTCGAAATCATTTAGCATGGTAGTAGTTTAGTCTCTGAGAAGTATACCAACTCTCTGATTTGTCATTACCAACATTCGATACTTTAGAACATGGGGGGTTCAACCAAGTGAAATGTCTTCAACATGGTGTCGTTGTCCCACCTTTCGATTCCTCGTTCCTCGTCGCTCCGAGGCCCTTGAGCTCCGGCGTCAGGCGTGTGGGAGATCTGGGTCTAGGACAGATATTCTAAGGCATAGAGACCATCCAGAAGCTACTGTATGACTCAGAAGCTACAGAAGCTACTACTCAGGGTGGAGGCCATCGCTCTTAGGATGGAGGCCATCGCTCGTGTGGAGGCCATTGCTCTTAGGATG